GGCTATTATTGCATTAACCACAGAGAACATTGAAAATCAGAACAAGATTGTGACTGGAGGAGGAATACAACCTCTTGTGAGGCTCTTGAGGTCTCAGAAGACTTCTGAAAAGGTTAGTTTAAGTTACACGTCTTCCTGATGTTGTCAAAGACAACGTGAAATATTTGTAAAAAGCATGGGAAGGGGAAAAACCTGAGTTAGCTCTTTGCATCCGAATGATAGCCAGTTCTGTGCAATCCACCGCAATTGCGGCAACCACTAGTTGAAAAAAAGAGTTAACATAACTTTATTTTTTAATTACTCCTGAAATGTGGTGATAAAACAGCTGACGTCTGGTCAACTTTTTCGATTTTCTTCAACCTGTCGATTACCGTTGTAAAAAATTAAGACAAGATACAAAGAAAAGCAATGTTAACTTAACTAACAAAGTAATGGCTCCGAAATGTTTTAGTCTCTAAGGCAAATGTGGTTCTTTTGTAGGTTCTGTTGATGGTGATCCGCGTGCTGGGTATCCTGTGTGTTGGCGTGGCTCATCAATCTAACAAATCCACTCAGCTTGAAATTACAAACGCTGAAGCTCTTGTTACTCTTGTGCATCTCCTGCGTACCTCAAAAAAGGCGCTCATTCAGGTAGGTTTTTAGTGCATTTCAATAGTGTTTTGATCGTGTAGTCTGATCCTTTGGGCGAGAGTGGTCCTGGGAAGTTGTCGATGAGGGTGTTAATCGTATAGGCAAAACTGGTAGATAAAATAGCCAATTAGAAAATGAGAATGTCACCTGCAACCAATGAGAAATGAAAGGGAAAAAGGCGGGCTGCCTGAAGCGCGGGAAAACACCAAGTCGCGATTGGTTTTTGTCCCGAGTGCGATTTGTCGAGAAAATGGCGCAAGTTTTCCAGACCAGTCTTTTAGAAGGGTCTTTTAAACCTATGCAATGGTCGACACGCAGTTCATATTTTTATAGTCGTTCAGAGAGGTTTGATATATTAAAGCGGAAAAAAGGCTCGATAAACAAGGAAACGTGTCTGCGTTTACCCTGTAGGTTTATTGCTCAACTGTGATTGGTTGGTAAGTAAATCTTTTAGCAATTTTTGGTTAATTGATTTGGATTTAGGGACACGAGTGTTAAGATCGGTGGATGCTAAGCTGTTTCTAGAATTAGCTTATTGAGGTTTTCAGATGATAGAATAAGGAAAAAAGATGCGTTTGATTACAATTCTTAAGAATGGTGGACCGTGGCGCGTACTTTTTTTTCCAACGGTTAGCTTCAACAGTTAGCCTCAGTATACTTAGATTATTAGCAGACTGAGACATTTATACCCTCATTTCGTTCACAGGTTGAGGTGGCTATAACGTTGGGAAAAGTCGTTCTGAATAATCTGCAAACCCAGAAGCTTCTGGCAGAACAGACGAAGTTTCGCGTCGTTGAGCTCCTTCACCATCTCTCTAACAAAGAAGAAACAGTTCGCCTCAAGGCTGGAATGGCGCTCGCAACTTTCGCGTACAACAACACTTCACAGCAGTACGCCATTAAAAACGCTGGGGGAATCTCGCTGAAGGCTTTTGAAGAATTCTTGGGGTCTGGGAATGAACTTTACCAGGCCCACGCGGCTTTTCAGATCATAGTCCTGGCACGTGTGATTGACAGTGATCAGGTGAACCTGACAGCACGAGGTGTGGAATTACTAGTGCACCTGCTCAGTTCTGATCAACAGAGTACACAGATACTTGCCGCCAGTTTGACAGCCAGCCTAGGTCACACTCGTGCTGGTGTTCCTGCGGCACTTATCACAGCCGGTAGGTTTATCCTTTTATCATTACTTGAAGAGTGACTGGGTTCTAATTTATCCTTATAGTGTCACCCTTAAATCCAATGTAAAGGTCATGAAAATAAAGGAAATGATCACCAATTTAAGAAGCTCCTGATTGTTACACAAATTCTCCTTGTCAGCATCATAGGAAATGTAAAGAGAACAGTATGGAGAATTTGAATTCCAATATTAGGGTATGAAGGGTTAATACTGATACACAGTACAACGGTAAGATAAGTCTCCCCCATATTGTCATCTTTCTGTAGCATATTTGCAACAATATTGTGTAATATATATTGTGAAGTTAATTTTGGAATAAGTGTAGGCCTTGTTTGAATGAAACTCGGGTGAGGTACCATTGAGTTAAAAAAAAAATTACTGCTTGTCAAAATGTTAAAAAAAGTTTTTTGAATCGTATTGTTAGTTTATTTTTGGTTGGAAAATCATGGTCAATATGATTTATGAAGTTAACTGAACAGTTACCCAAGTTTATACCACAAGGAAACCGTTTTGAACCATTTTATTATGAAAAATCAAATGTGAACTTTTCAAAAATTTGTATATGACGATTAAAAATTACATTGTATAAACCAAAATATTATCGCATTGCATTCTCTGTTTCACACCATTTTCTTTGTTTTTTTTCCTTGTACTCTTCAGGTTCAGTGGAGGCACTCCTCACCAATCTCTCCTCACCAAACGAAGAAGTCCGCAGCAGTGCGGCTGTTGCCCTAGGATACCTGTCGTTCGACCGCACGGCTTCCCGTCTGATGCTGCAGGCGTGTCGTAATACTCCAGGTCTGCTGGAGTCGCTGGTAGATAACCTTGGTAACGGAAAGGTCTCTATGGAGTTTATGGACGAGTGGCGGCAGACCAAGATGGTTGGACTGCCTTCGGCCAGGTATGCCATTACGTACCATGCTGCTTTTGATACCAAGAGTTAGGTCTGAGTTCTTAGTTCTTCAAGAAGTAACCAAATAAGGTTGTTTTTCTTTTGTTAAGAATACCATGCTCAGTTCAAATAGTCCCCTCCAAGTTTTCTTTGGTAGTTTTTGACATGATACAGGTAGCGAAAGTTTGACACCACTGGAAAGAGCAGCATATAATCAGTTAGGCTGCCAGGTTTGAGAGCGACATGTTACTGAAAAACTATCAAAGATGCAAGACGCAAAGTCGCGAAGTTTTACGACGGAAAGTTTGAATATATGAGAAAACTTTGCTGAAATAAACAATAACGTGTCGGTCTTTTTTACCCACGGATTGATAGCGACAGTCATCGTGAACGCTCACGGAAATTGCTTAGATGGACGAGAAGGACTGGAACTTTGCAGCGCACCTTTTTCGCCGCAGTCTTTTTTTTTTAAGCTGTCACCTCAATTTGAAAACTCACCATTACTTTTACTTTCATTTTCCTCTACGAAAGTTTGGAGATTCACGGAGGGCCCCCGGTACCACAGAGATTACCGCCTGAAGAACGTAAGTCTGAGCTCCCAATAGGATGCGTTTCTCAGTCCGTTTGTATTTTAGTCAACCTTTCAATGAGAGCTGGAGGTTTTCATTATATTTACAAATCAAAGAGGCCATGGCAAAACTGACATGTAGGCCAGGAAACGCCACTAAAATTGTTTCCTAATTCCTTTCCGTAATTTAAGGCATTGGATACAACGCTAGTTCTAGATACTGGAATATTATTTTGGGGAAAGTACCTGTAGAAGGCAATCTTATGCTTGGTTTCATTTCACAGCTCCAGATGCGTCTCAGACGTTCAATTTATGATGAATTAAACGCGCCAGTCTGTAAGGAAATAGTGCGTTTCGCCTTCAAACTATTGTTTTGGCACTAGCACCACGACACCATTTTTCTGATCCAAGTATATCTCCTAAAGAAATGCTGTGCACTTTTGTCACTGTTTCTGTTATTGTTTGGGTTTGTTTTAATGTTAGTTCTCCTGATCAGACCGTTTGCATAGAGGTTGTTAGAAAAGAGATTTTGCACCTGAGAAAATGCATTGGTGCTCCTCTGTAGCGAACTATGTGAAACAAGATACAGTTTCGAGGCTTCCTGTACTTTGTTGTATCGGGGTTTTACTCCATAGCCAAAAATTATTGTACAATTATCTGAAAAACGTACTGTTTTTCCTTTAGGAAAACGTAGACCTCGCACAACTCAAAGCATGGGTTCTTTCCGACGTCTTCGCCAGCAAGACATGAAAAGAGTGGCCTCGGCACCAGTGGTTGTAAACAGCTATCGCAATCAAGTAAAGGCTGGCATTGTCAAAGCCATGTTGCCTCGCTCTGATTCGTCGCACATGAGAAGCGCTTTTGGAGCAGCAGAGATGTGGCGATCCAAATTACTAACATCTAGGCCTTCGCTTGAAAAAGGATTATCCAGTAAGAATTCTTGACCACATACGGAACTTAAATGACAATTGGATGACAGGAAGAATTGCTGCTGTGGCCGCCATTATCGCAGTTGTCAGACAGTGCGTGTGCACAAGACATAGAGTCGTTGTCATGGACTTTTCAAAGTACAACTTTCCCGTTTTCGTAAATTCTTTTAGACAGAAATTTTGCCTGAGGTGTATGAAGAAAATTTGCTCCAAAAGCTGATATTTAGACCCCCCCTTCCCCCACCTCAAAGCTAATTTTAAGTCTTTTTCATCACGCACGAGTTAAATTGCTAGCTCAAAGATTGAATGTTAAAGTCAAGATAAATTTATCTTATTAGTATCTCGCCAAATACAATCTAAGCCGATTGTCATCACAAATGTCCTTTGTCTGCCAATGTCATGCTCTACCCACCTTACCCTTGCTTCCAAAATCCAAGGCAGCAACTAACCAT